AACAATGAATACGCTAGTTGAGCTAAGTTAAACTGAACTTCACCCGTTCTGTTAAGCTAGCTCGGTGTGATCATTAGCCTGAGTGCTAAAATGAATGGTGATGGGTTGGCGTGTGTGTTTTATGTATAGTTTATGCACCGGTAGAGCTTTTTTTGGGTGTTTCTGCGATGACATATTAGCAACAGTTTTGGAGAGTCACAGAGATTGCCTGTAGCCATTCTGGGTAGCTCTCAGATCCCGGCTCTAGTCAGACACACGCACACAAACACACATATCGACTCCCACCTGCACACGCAGAATCCGCTTTCTGTGGAAGTGTAGGAGAAGATGTGCGGCGTCATCCGCCCACACGCTCACCTTCACTGATGCACCGAAACTCGGCAGCATATTTGCCGAGTACCACACAAGTGGCTCTACTTTGCTCACCCTCTCACTTCCTCTCTCTCTTTGTCTCTGCATGCCTGACACACACACACACACACACACACACACACACACACACACACAATCTCACTCACAGCGTTCTGCTCTTATTTTAAACGATCAACCACATCAGTTCTCAAATGGTGTTCAGCTCTGATGTGTATTGTTCAGATCTTACAGGTGCAGTTTGACGTGAAAGCCCTCAGAGATCCCTGCTGCTTTTCAACATTGTCAGTCAGACCTTTTTTTTGGGATCAGGCCCAGGAGACTTGAAGGATACTGTTTTAAACCAGAAAGCTGAAATGTTCATCATGGCATCAGGAAGCTGCAATGTGTAGAATCTGAATCATTTGACTTTCTTTTGCCTCAGATTTTCTTACTATACATAGTCGACAATACCTGATCACATCTGACGCTATCATCGTAGCTGTCCAACCCAAAATGTATGAGGGAGGAAATGTGCCAAACATGAAGTCAGTAACAAATCCGCAAAGTCCACTTTCTTGGCTAATCTCAGAGATGTGGACCAGTACGCCAGTGCCCGACTTCTGTCATGGGATAAAATGTGGTCATATAATCCAAATGTAATCTCGATTATCTACCAGAGAAATGTGTCAACAAAGATGGGTAAACACATAAAAACAACTTGTATAAGACTTGCAAGAACAACATTTGATCATAACATGACTGAAAACACCAATTTTACACCAAAAGAAATAAAACAAATACGTATTTGATGAAATAAATCTAACCAAAGTCAATCTTAGAGTCAGAATGTGCTGCATTTTGCCACATTCAGATCAAACAAATGGGCTGAATACTTTTCATTCATCACTATTTGACATTTCTTCCTTTAATTTTAACTAGCTAACAGGTTTCTTCATCTCCCTTTTGTTCACTGCTGAGCTTCTCAGCAAGGCACTGCCTCCTGTAGATCAGTGGATTAAACAACTTTTAAAAATCATGCTTTAATCGTGCTAATATGTGTTTGAAACTTTCACACATTAACAATAAATAACAAACCAAACTGCTCCTTAGTGCTGGCCTGACGACCAGGAGACAGGCAACCTCATGTGTGATCATCTCCTGCAGATATTAACCTCCTGTGCTAAGGAATCATAACCATTTTCTTATATTGGGCAGGTTTAGGCGCAATTTAGTCCAGATTTAGTACAAACTACTGTATAGCTGCTATAAACGAAGAATTTAATCCTTAATTGCGTCAGAATTAAATAAACAGACATTAATTCATGTTGGATACAAATGGTAAGTGTTGGTTAAACAGTCATGTCATGCTGAATGTCTATGTAATATGTTAAATATTACATAGACATGAAGCATGTCTGTCTGGTAGTTTAATGACCTATACCTTCCTACCTGAGCTACTACAGCTACATAATAATAGTGTTACTTCTCTAGGTCTATCCAGTTATATCAAGAGGCCTTTTGGTCTGTGTCTGTTGTTAACACTTCTTGGTACTTCTTGGTCAATTTTCCTTGGAAAAGTCAAATTGACAGAGTATCCAGAGCGGTTCACGAGGTGAACCGTGATGCAGACTGAGCAGAGGAAGAGAGACCTGCGCTCGAAGGAACGTGCGATAATGTTCCTGTACAGTTAAGTGGACAATCATTTAAATCAGCAAATCGTCTATCATTGTCTGATAGGGGAGATATACCTCTGAGAGCAGATGCCAATGTCTAAGAAAATTCCATTGAAGTCAGAAGTTAGCTTTAAACAACTTCCAGCCAAGACTTCACCGTGCGGCGTCTACGTTGAAGACCTTACACCGTCTTTTTCTGGTCCCAATCATGCCTTTTTTGTGAGTCTCACTTAAACAGCAGATGATAAGTTACACATGTGCTTCACTTACTGTAGTCTCTGTTCAGCTGTATGAGCCTGATTAAAGAAGAACCGACTACCTTGTGATCAATTTGCAAATAACAGGTCTTAAAATCGGCAAAATAACAACATCATGCAACACCATCAACAATACTTCTGAAATTTAAGGCTTAAAATACGCCTATGGCTTAGAATGGGTAAACAGAGGGCCGTGTTTGAATCCTTCATGTTGTGTAATAGACACCTCTGTATCCATAGTGGTTAGCACAATGAGCTGAATGGGCTCAGATCATTTTTGCCTGGGCGTCGGATCCAAGGAGTGCCAACCTCCAAAATCACAAAATGAAATTTCTTTGGGCTGTGTTGTCACAGGCTGCTGGTAGCTTTCTTTGCATTTCAATGACACATTTTTTGAGTATTTTATCATTTTAAAAAGTAATTAAAAGTGTAGCCTCTAATGTGATTAATCAAGATTCACATGGACCCCATAAGCTGAGCTCTCGGGTACAGCTAATGGGGATCCTAACAAACAAACAAAGAAAGATTTTTGATTGATTGGCAGCTCAACTTGTGTCACCCTCACAACATGTCCAAAGCTGACTGAAAAGCTGAATGGAAATGTCTGCAGCTGATTTGTTAATTTCTCAGGTCATGAAAGCTCACATTAAAGCAGCATGATGTAGATTTCTAACATGAAAGTGATTACAGATTAACTCATATTTATGACACTTTGTGGTCAACAGCTCTCTTTTGAGAAACTTCTAGCCTATTGGCTGCAGTGTAATGTTACAATTTGTGGTAATTCTATAAGAAAGGGCAGCAACTTAAACCACACTTGCCTTGAGTGGTGGCAGGCAGAGTGTCTGAGTGGAGAGGACTACACTGAAAGCCATCTCTGCAAAGGTTTAACAGATCCACTTAAAGATGATGCAAATTGAGGCAAAAACATTTCCAGAGGCACTTCATGGATTTTATTCATCAGGAACATTACTCATCCTGTGAAAACTGTTGTATAATCACCTCTCTGGCTCTTTGAGTTGCATCATGGGAAGTGTAGGATTTAGTATTATTTTGGACTTCAGCCACAGCAAGAATAGAAATCAGGCTGTCTTGGTGTTTTTAACTTCAGCAAGAAACTGCAGTTATCCCGAGTTGTTCTGTTGCCGCCTTTTTAAATGCAGAGTTTCAGTTAAGTTTGAAAAGTGTTGGAGCTGTCTCACACACTCACACAGTCTACACACACACATGTGGTATATGTAGCAACAGGAAACATCTGTGCTGTCAGTCGGAGGAACTCTTCCATTGATCTTTTTTCAGGCTAAAAGTCAAAATTGAGAAAAGTGAGGAGAATGTCTGCTACTTTATCGGATCTGACCAGAGGCTCGTGGGATGGCGAGGTATCATGGAGCAAGTGAGAACACAGATGCTCTGACTCTTCAAAAAATGACGCTTCACGCTCCAGGCAAAATAAATCACACCACTCTGCTCCCACTCTGCACAATATCACAAACACTGCTGCCTGCAGCTTTCATCCAGTGCAGTTCTTGTTGGGATGCAAACAAACAGTCACACTGAGAAACAGAAAGTGAAACTGCGCATCTATCGGCAAGTCTTTAAGAGCAAATGATCAGAATTGGTTTCTCTAACACAATCGATCCAAAAGTCACTACCAGAAGGAGAGACATTTCTCATAACAATTACCAAGAAACTATCCTGAAGTATAATTTCATCCATAATGCTTACCTTAAGTGTCAAACAGGCCAAATTCTTTTAACATGAAAACTAAGAAATATGACAGGAAATGGCATTTGGGTGGTCTCATCCAAACAGGCACATATATCCAAGGGATGTCTGTATCTTCATGTGTGTTTGTGTTTATGCTTGGGGTTGCACGTGTGTAATCTGTGTCTTAGAGGCATCCATGTAATAATCCCACTTAACTGTGTGACATCAAAGAGACAAGCTGTGGGGGACAAGTCAGACCATCCTGGAGACAGCTTTGATGAGGATGTGAAGCGGTTCCCTTGTTAATAGTTTCCTCGTGTACTGACACAATGTCAAATTTAATTGAGTTCTGTATATCGAAGAGTGCTAACAAAAATGACTACACCTTATGAAATATCATTTGAAATGATCGAGTGTGACTGAAATAAACGGTGAAAATGAAGCAGTAGATATTTTGACTTTTGATTGAAGGAAATCTGTACATGTGCATGCTGCCAAATATTATTGACCTACAAATTTCAATTCTGTTTGTGTGTTTAATTATTCAAAAGTTGCTCTAATTCACATTTTTAAGTCTTGCAAGAAGACCGTCTCGTGAAAAAAAAGAAACTCTTCCTCTTGTGCATAAATAAGCGTGGCCACTGCAACGTTATATTGTGTTTCAGGGCTTTTGCAGTCTGAACAAGAAGAGGAGAATCTGTGCACACTGTAGCTGTCGCTATGGAGGACAAATATAGTGCCCGTTGCCATGGTTATGACAGGGAACGCATCCACACAAACAGAGAAGCGAAACCACGAGGAAACACACCTACACAGCTCTCTCCCCCTTTCAAGCTACAACCAGCACGTGTGGATGAGGAGGAACTGGCTGTGTGTGTGTGTGTGTGTGTGTGTGTGTGTGTGTGTGTGTGTGTGTGTGTGTGTGTGTCACATGTTAGCTATTGCGTTTGTGTGTGTGATGAGCACCTGTGGAGGACATTTTTTTTTTCTTCTTCATTTAACGCAGACTCACCGTCACAGTTGGGATGGCGGTGACGAGGGAGTAGACGAGGACGGGTGGCGCCTTGCTGTCGTCCTCAGGACCCGGGTACGGCTTGGAGTAGGCTTTGTCGAAGCAGAAGAAGCCCTGGACGTGCACGGGGAAGGTGTCCGTGTACTCAAAGTAGTACGCCAACAGAACAGTCCCTGCCATGATGACCAGCTGGAAATAAAACATATTGGTTCCAGCTTTAGGATTGGATCCGCAAGAGAGGGTAGGAGTTGAAAATAATAGAAGACAACCGGAAAGAAAGAATTCAAACGGATTTATAAAAAGAAGGAGAGATTTTTCCTTCTCAGAGCAAAATGATGGATGCTACCGTAATGTGTAAAATGAGTCAAGTGTGCGTGGCGAGATAGTGAAGGATGAGGATGAGAGTGAGAGGGAGGGAGGGAGAGAGGCAGAGATAGAGACAGAGGGAGACAAATAAGGAGAAAGTCAGATAGAGAGGAGGGAAAGAGATACAGAAAGAGAGAGAGAGATCCCTTCAGCGATGTCAGCATGCACAGTGGGAAGGTAAAGATATAAATGGAGACCGATCAAAGAAAATAATGCTGTACAGAGGGCGAAAAGGAATAACCAAACAAGACAGGAGGCGGAAGGGAGGGTGAGACACAGATGGGGGGGGAAAAGAGAAGGAAAGAAGAGCGAGAGAGAGAGCGAGAGAAAACAACCACGGGGAAGAGCAGAGGGTCGGACAAGACGACGAATGTGTGTGTGACTCTCTGCATAACTTATCTTGTTTTTCTTTCACGCTACAATTCAGCCATATTAATTCAAACCATGAAGCTTCAAAAAATAAAATGATCTTAAAAGTACAACAGATCAAATGTATTCGCAGTATAAAACAGATTGTGGGCGTGAGAGAGTTTGAGAGGGAGAGGGGGTTATTTCGATAGAAAACAGATGAAACATTACAATGATGTAAGAGTGATAATTACTCCGTTATTAACAGCGTGCTAACTTTTTACTCCAGTTCTCGACAGGAGAAGACATTAGCTGTTGCGCAGTAAGTGTAAGTATTTGTTTGTGCTGAAGCTAAAATGAAACAAAAGCGCGAAGCTAAAAAAAAAAAAAAAAGGAAAAAAGGATTGCGAGTTTAAAAATAGCACGCTGCTGATTAGTTTCATAATAATCTGCAGCCTAAATGTTGGTTTCATTAACTTCCATTGTATGAGAAGGACGCATTTATCAGCAGCGAAACACGAAGAGCCTCTTCTGGCAGGCTGAGCTGGCTTCAGCTTTAGGGAAACAATACAGAAAATAACCAGTTAATGGCTGGTTGCAATTTGTCCTTTCGCCTCATAGTGAAACATCAGGAGTGTTATTGAAACCATACCAATGTTTATATTACCAGATGGAAAATATGAATTATGACCGAAGCCAAATGCAAAGATGGGTGGAAAAAAAGAGGACATCATTTGGCAACAAACTGGTTCACGTCCGCAGAGCCATCACCAGCAGGCAGATTGAACCTTTTTGTTTTACAGCGTTCATTTTGACTTGTGTAACACAGTGTAACTAATAACATCATTAATCAGTGCACAGCTCTGGAATGATTGCTGTACAGGAGACATCATTTAAGTCATTAGTTTGAACATGTGCCTTTCACGCCACGAGAGGTCAAAATATCTGATGGGAAGACTGATCCGTGACGCAGATGATTCTGATTTGTTCCGAGAGGATTACGAGGAAAAGAAACACACTGCTCTGATGGTAGCTTGGCAACCAGATTCATCCCACAAAAATTAGCAGCAAAAGCAAAAAAAAACCTTTTAAGCCATAAGGTAACAGTGTTTTGGAAAGAAGGGGAGGAAAACAGCTAACATTACCAGTCAATAACAGTATATTAGGAATTATCTTACATTTTCTTTTTTTTTACCTGCAGAAAAGAAACGAGGGGCATGCAGCGTACATTGTATAAAACATGGACGTAGTCTCAGAGCGTCACCCCTTGGATTCTGAAGAGGTGTTTAGAAGCTGAATGAAGGCAGTCACCATATTGGAAAAGCTATCTCCACCTAACTTTTTACATTCAAATAACATGCAAAGAGGTGGAGTTGAGGCAGGCCTGAAGCCTCCTGTCAAACTGATACACTGCAGCCACCTGTCGGTCAGATCGGCCACTCAACAAGTTGTGCTAATGTATGTGTAACTCTTAGCTTTGATAATATCAAAACAAATGACTTGTTTACCTCCTGAAACATATAAAGAAGTGCTGTAAATGAAGACATTATGCTGTAAAAATGCCCATTCTAATATACTGTAGGTGTTCAGTGGTCTTTCTGGGCTTTTGAAGCCAGCCTCAAGTGGACACGTGAGGAACTGCACTGTTTCTGCATTTGCTTCATTTTTGAACACAAAAGGTTTCTGCTTTGCATGCAGTTGATGCAGTGGAAATCTGCTACGTTTGTTTCTCGTCCTAGTTGTTATATCAGTATTTGAAGGAGTGGGCGGTAGGCTTAGCCACTGCATTAATAGATATTTAAAATCCCAACAACATGAGATTTAGAGGACAAAAAAACTGCACAGTCTATTTCGATACAAAAATAAAATATCACTTTGGATGTGATCATTTTTAGGGTTTACATAAATGAGTTAGTCCTGTAATTTGAGTCATTGGTGATTGGGGGAACAGAAGAAATTAACCATGGGTGAAATTACTATTTGACAAATCCAACAACCTCTAACCGCCCCTGTGGACTCCATTCTCTTTTTATCTCTTCTATGGTGTCACTTGAATTTATCATTTGATGTATAAAACAGAGGCTTAATGGGACTCTATGATGACGTAGTTTGAGACTTAAGGCAACCAATCTGTATTTAAAGTGAGAATCAGCTGGTGTGGATGTTGGTTTGTGAACGGCTGACGTTCAGCTAATCATGCAACCAACAGAGAACTAAGCAACCGAATCTCAGTAAGATATCTATTGTCAAATTGTAAATCTTTCTGAAGTTATCTGAACATTTTGAGGTCAACTTTTACATTAAAGTTGAACAACATGGATTCATAGAGATTATCACTGTTGTCTTTGTTACCTCACAGTGATAACAGTGTCCAATGTCCACTGTGCTACCACATCTTGTAATGAAACCCTCAACTGAGTGACGCATGTTCTCAAAATCTCAAATTATTTCTCTAATTTTTAGTTTCTGAATGTGACTACAGCAAGATTTAATTCGTTTCATTTTAATAATAAAATCGTCAAAGGAGAAAGCCTGCACAAAGTCTGTAGTGTTCAGGATTTGAGTTAACATCATTTTATCTGTGGAGCTGAGTTTTTGTCTTTTATCTGAAATTCAATATATCAATATTTAATGCAGAGACCTTCTTATAATTTACAGCACTTAAGCCAAAAGTGTCACAGCGGCAGATGGCTGAACAAGTGACGAACAACTGAGAGAACCTCCTCCAACATGTTTATCCTTTCAGCAAAGCGACAGAGAACCCACTCCATCTAATGCTACAGGGAGGGGAAGGGGAGACGTGTTACAAGTAGCACATTTCAGCTTTATTAAGCATTGAAGAGCCACAATGAACATGGGAGAGAGAGGATGACCTAATTCTAACTCCTTAGATTATACACGCTGCTCCACTGATGGATCTGCTAATGTGCACGCTCTCAAGTTAAAATGTCTTACTATGATGAACTGGAAAATAACATAATTGATCTTTATGTTATGCGATCATAGTCTATTTCTGTCTGTTTGTCACATACTAGAGAGATGGTGCATTCAAAGACAGCACACATGTCCTGAGGCCCTTAAAAACAGAGTCATGAGGGGTAAAGAAACCTGCACAAGAACATGCACACAAATATGAAAACGTGCTAGCAATTTGTGCAAACACGTCCAGTATGTGGTTAAAATGTGGTGAACAAACATCAAGCCGCACCATGTTTGTTCACATCTACATGAGCTTTGTATGAGTGGGCGTGTGTGTGTGTGTGTGTGTGTGTGTGTGTGTGTGCTCCCATGTGCACAGTGTTTTTGAATGCGTCTGTAGGCATGTGGGTGAATTCCCATGTCTGAGGAGGAACTCTGACACCGGCAGCCAAACTGTGTTGCACATTTCTCTCCACGGTCCAGCTCTCTCTTCTCGCTGCGAGGCGTAAGGGAGGGAGGGAGGTGTAGTAAGGTGGGAGGAGAGAGAGAGAGAGAGAGAGAGAGAGAGAGAGAGAGAGAGAGAGAGAGAGAGACAGACAGACAGACAGAGACTACAAAAACACTCGTCAAACTTCATACAAATATTTGAAGACAGCAGTACAAGGCCTCCCTGGGAGATTATGCTTGTCATTCTGCACCTACATGAAAAATAAAACCGTCTGATTATTGACTGTTCAGTCAGACTGAGATCCTTCTGTACAAGCATGAGTGCTATAAAGTGTTTTAGAAGACTGGAGAAAGAGTTGAAAAATATTAAATCTGGGACAAGATTATCTCACTAAAAAATCAGTGTGACTAAAATACAAAACTCCCAGCAAAGTGAGACATCGAATGCCTCATTCAGACAAAAAATTGCCCCAATTGAATCCAAGCTTAGAGCTGTTTAAATGACATTTCATCTACCTACCAGTGTACATGAACAAATAAGCAACTTCCTATTCGTTCTGCAGCCACAGCCAGTTTTGTCTGAATATTAATAAAGGTCAAAGCAGCTAAAAAATGATGGTTTCTAATGAGCAGAGGTACACATCCTGCACAAGTCACCTTGGACTATTTAGTAAAATGAACACTGTCCTCAAAGCATCCTGTGCATGTACAGTCCACTGAGTAGGGTCAGCGTGGGTCTAAAGCACTCTGTCATATGAGTCATCCAAATGCAGACTGCTTCCTCAGCGTCGTCACATGGCAGCAAACTTTAAAGTGTTTGTCAGTCAGTTAAGGTACACACTCTGAAGTGCACTGAAAAGCTTTTTTTCATGGTTGGGTGCATTTTAATCTCCGATTTACTTTCCCAAAAAGCCTCTGACCTTAAACCTTTTGGATCAAATAAATTACCTTTAAAGTCTCACCATGGGGTGTTTTTTTGGTAGTTATATAGAGCTGTATTTTTACTGTCTTCTGGGATAAACCATTAGCCTCCATTCGTCTGTGACCCTGTGTGACTTACAGCCTGACCCTTTCAAGCTCTTTCTACTGTTCTACCCCCCCCCCCCAAA